CAGCCAGCCAGGAACAGGAAATTCACCCTAAGACCGCATGGACCTGAATTCTACCAACACCCTGAATGAGCCTGAAAACCACTATTCCCTGGAGTCCCCATAAAGCCCACCTGACTGACCCCTTGATTCCAGCCTTGCCCAGGCCAGCAGACTTTGCAACTACACAATGTGAGATAATAAGCATGTTTTTTTTTAAAGATTTTATTTATTTATTTATTAGAGAGCGAGCGAGAGAGAAACAGCGTGAGAGGGGAGAGGGTCAGAGGGAGAAGCAGGCTCCCCGCTGAGCCGGGAGCCGGATGTGGGACTCGATCCCAGGACTCCGGGATCATGACCTGAGCCGAAGGCAGTCGCTTAACCAACTAAGCCACCCAGGCGCCCCAGTAAGCATGTTTTAAGCCACTGAGTTTGTAATAGAGCAACAAGGGGAAACTAATACACCATCATCTATATAGCAGTGACCTTTCTAAAGTACGCTCATAACCCTCCTGTGTAAAATCCTCAACAGCCCACCTAAACAGTGGTTCTCAAATTGTCTGCAAAGGAAACCCAGGGCTCCTTGCAACTGCGTTTGGGGCTAAAGCATCTGATGATCATTTCCTCAGAGGCAACCCGTTCTCAAATGTGTTCTATACCAAATATTAACATACTGGAAACCCCCAAAACATTAAACATTTCTGCCAGGATAACTCATTTTTGTGCAGCCCTCATCGAGATAAAACTGGTATTACTTCACCTATTTAATTATGAAGGCCCTGAGATTGCAAAGCAGGGGTGCAGTGCATTTGCCCCAAATACAAAAAGATGCACGCAGGAGGCTATTTGTTGCAGGACTGCGCTAGCAAGACGGAGACTGAACAACGCACAAGTCCGTCAACAGGTTGATTAAGGGATTCACCGCCCACACAGTGGAGCTCCCAGCAGCTGCAAAAGCAGTGAGGCCGATCCCCACGTATTCCTACGTGAGCGATCTCCAGGATGGATGATTATGAGAAAAAAGGCAAGGTGGAGAAAAGGGTGGATAAGGAAGGAGGAAGCGCAAATGTATACATGTATCTTCTTACAATACAAAAGAATAAACTAAAAACACTGGAAATGTCTGGCTCCGGGGAAAGGACCCAGCGTCCCCTTAGGTCTGAGGCCTGGTGCTCGCGGGCAGTGAGGATGGGCCCCTCTCCTCGAGTTCCGGGGCGCTGCATCCTTCCGCGGTCTCCAGGACTTCTGTGAGCTCTCGCCCCCCACCCGACCGCACTCCCACCGCCCGCCGCCCGGGGCCCTGCGCAGCCCGGTGCTGGGGCCTCCTGGGCGCGGGGCCCCTGCGCACCAGCACGGCTTTCCCGGGGCCGAGCCCAGCCCGGCGCTCCTCCCGGCCTGGGGCGGGCCTGGGGCGGCCCGGAGCGGCCGGCTCCATCCCCGCCAAGGGGGCGAGAGAGGAGGGGTCTCCTCCGAGGAGAAGGTGCGGCCAGGGAGGGTGCCTGCACTTCCTGGCTCCGCGGAACCCGCCCAGGCGACAGGCCCGCCCGGGACCCTGCCCGCGGCCTTCTTCTCCCTGACCGCCGCCTGCACGCTCGGCTTCCCGGGGCCCGGGAGGCGGGAGGAGCGTGAGGTCCGGGCCGCGGGCCTCCGCCCGGCTGGTAACACCCGCAGCGGAGAGC